GGATTGCCATTGTAAATATCACGTAGGGACTTAAGAAGCCCAAATACTAATTATTTCTTTGTAGTGTGTAAAAGGAATTTTTTTTTTAAAACAAAACCCCAACTCTTTGAGGATTTTTCTCAGCTCTTAGTAATACAGGTCACATTCCAATTTTGGAGATATTTTTTATACTTAATTGCAGTAGGGACTCATTCCCAGTCAAAGCAATAGCCACAACCTCACATGGAACCAATATATGTGGATTGTTTTTAATAAAATGAAGACTGGTGATAAAGCTGTCCATTCACTTGCAAATATTTGGTTATAAGTTATAGCACTGATACTCTTTCATGTTTAGAAATCCTTTCTATCATTTGAAAAATGTTTTGAATCTTGACAGTAAACATTTTTTGGAGATGAAAAAATAATTTTTAAATATATATATTTATTTAAATATATATTTGTTTAAATATTAAATATATTAAATATTAAATAAAATTTATTTATTTAAATTTATTTAAAATTTATTTAAAATTTATTTATTTATTTAAATAATAAATTTATATATTTATTTATATTTAAAGATATATTTATATAAATATATTTAAATACATAAATATATTTATTATATTTATTATATATTATATTATATTTATATTATATTTATATAAATATATATTTATTTAAATGTGTATATTTATATATAGATATTTATTTAAATATATATATATATAACTTAATATGGCCATTAAATTATTAGAATGTAGATAATAATGATAGAGAAGATGGAAAATTATTGAATAAGGATTGTTTTGTATTTACTTGAGCACTGGGTCTTAGACCTGATGGTAGTCCTTTGATTTTTAGCACAAATAAATTAGCCTAGAGAGACTGTTCTTTACATGATTCCTGAAATGAGGTAATGTCCTTAGTGGCTACTGTCTTCATAGATGCTGAGTCCTTATACTTTGATTTACTATATATCCACACATGAATATACCTAATTCATGGATTTTTGAAGGATTTACTTTGAATGGGATTTTAAATTTAATAAAAAAGCATTTCAGGAGTAATATTCATTTAAAAAAAAACAAAAGGTTTCAGGTCTTTACACTATTTATGTCATATTATCCTGTCACAACTAAATGTGGCTATCCATAGCTTTGGTTTTTAACTTAGTTTAAAGCAAATCTTTTTTTGTTTCTTACTATTAAATATTCATCACACACACGTGGTGACATTTCTCTAACAATTTTGAGATAAACTTTATTTTTTAAATTATGTAATACTTTTTGGAATTCATACCTAGTATGATGTGATCTTCTAAAACTCGATGATATTTGGATGTAAACTGAGGGCCCAGTTGAGTAAGTGTGTTTATTTATAGCATTATTCTGGTTGTTTTTAACCTAACCTAGTTTAAAATCTCTGGTTCTACCTTCATGAAGCAGATGTTTGTGCATAAAAAGCACTATAGAAATCTATTGTAAACCTTCGTTTAGCGTGATTTCAACGGTGCACAGATAGATGCTATAAATGCCCTTAGCTAAACATGACTGCAGTAAAAGTTAAAAAGGAGTCTGGAATTTGATTTGTCTTGTTTTGAGATTTAAGTCACCATTATATGTATTATTTGCTAAATAAGTTAGACACATGTATGTTAGAAATTACTAATGGAAAATACATGTTCTTTGTATCTTCATTTAAAATAACATAACTACAAACATTTTTTTCAAATCAGTCAGTTTATTTTAATTGTGATTGCTAGGAATTCATTTTACAAAGTACTTACCAATGAGAAGTTGATGTGTTATGTAAATTTAAAATTGTAATGGTCACAAATAATTGTTGGACTATTCCTGTAAATATATGTTGCACAACATACATATACATAGCAACACATATAATATGTATGTTACATGTTGCATATAATTTATGTATTTATTTAAATTTCCTCTCTCTATATATATATAGATTATTTTATTGGTTAAATTACATAAATATTGAAATACTTTGAAAATCATAATTGTATTTTAAAAATTTACTCTTTTGTTAAGTTACTTTTCAAGCAAGTGAAAGGTAGTCCGTTATCTTAAAACACATTTAAGTATTTGTGCTGTCTGATCATTTAAAGGTCTTTGTGTAAGATTACTGTAACAATGCACTTATGTGTGTGTGTATGTGTGTGAGAGAGAGAGAGAGGGAGAGAGAAGAAAGTGAAGAGGAAGAGAGAGATCTGAAACCAACCTACACATCCTTGTTACAGTTATGGCTACCTGATAACTTAAAATAAGAATCAGAGCAGCAATTTAAAACATCATATTAAACTCTCTTGCACCCTCTGTTGTTTTTTTGGGGGAACACTGCACATACCTTCCCATGATTGTATTGGCATTAGTCTTACTAAATCCCTGTTAAAATTAATACTTAGTTTATTGTATTTACTCCAAATTAGATTAATAGTAAGGTAACATTTATCTGTAATTCTTAGTTGATGTTTCCTTGTATTACAGATATGTTTTTATTGTATAACACCTTAAATCAAAGAGGAGCCTCTCTGTCTTTGAATTCTCCTAGTTACCAACCAGTTCAAGCCCCATCAGATGTTTCACGCAAATGAAAATCTCTGCAGGGTATACAGTACACTGGATATACAGTTTTCCAGAATTACAAATTCTGCCTGTTCTTTTGTAAATCTTTCAATTGTCAGACAGTTTCCTTCCAAAATAAGAATCTGGAATCGTCCATACTAAAATTAAGAATTTGTAACTGTAAGGAACAGATGTTTTCATAAACATTTGCTATAATTAATTTCAACTAGAGGATTGAAGGAACAAAGCAGTTTTTCCTGCTTCAAAACTTTATCGCCTTTTCCCCACATAGCAAACTCTGAAATCTTTTCTCTAATATTGTTTGGAAAAACAGTTGTACTCCTTATTTGGTATGTTTTCGAGAAAGAAAAACTGCTTCTTTTCCTTATTCCCATCCTTTGAAGGTCACGTCTAATGTGATATACTCATTTTGAAACAAGTATAAAATGAAGAAACCTTTGTAATATATTATGATGGCAAAACCTAGTTTAAAAACTGAACGTCTCTTAATTGTTTGAAGGATTTTATATTTGATCTGGTAAATATCAGCAGAAAGGGAAAAAAATTCTGTTCGTGAGATCTTATGTGTTTAATCATAATCTTCAGTTTTAAAGAAAAAGAAGGCTTATATTTTAAATGTATGATATAGTACTTATTTTATACTGATTATAGAATGTTTCACAGGAAATGTCTGCAAGCTGTTAAATAACATGTGTTGTAGGAAATTTTCATTTAGCAAGAAACAGACTAATTTTCTTTAAATCTTTTGAGTTTACTTATTATAATACCATTAATTTTTTTAAGAAAATGAAGTATGTTGTGCTAGTAATCCTACAGTGTCTGTGTTTTCAAAGAATTAACAAAATATACCCAGCTAAATTGATCTTAAACATTTAAGTGTTTGGGGGTAATTTTCTCCTATAAAATTTGGCAATAGTTTTGAATGCTGTAATCCGTTTTAGGATTTTTGTTAATGAAAAAAAGAAAAGAAAGCAAAGAAACCTGAAAGTGCATTTTGAAAAAAGAATAGAGTTAAAAGTTAGTAAGTGGACTCAGTCCAGTTCTTGTCCTGCTAAACACTTTGGCACAGCTGTAAAGATTTTGAAAAGAACCAACATTCTTGACTAATCTGTCAACTATAAAATGTGCAAAGAAAAATAGGTAGCTGTCATTAAAATTACATTTCAGCTTTCAATAACCATTTAATGAGTGGCATAATTATATAAGTATGGTACCTTAAGTACTGTACTCAATAATTAAAAATAATCTCATCTTTAAAGTGAAAGCTCTGTAATTACTATTTGACTTAACCAGGACCACTATGATGATCTCCAGTGGCACCTTAGATTGTTCAAAGTGGATTAAAAGTATAAATTAAAATAGATAAATCATTGAATTATTAAGCTTTAAAAAGCATAAAAATGAATATAACCTGATGCTTGAAAGTTACATTACAAGAATTAGGAGTATAAAATGTAATCACAATCTAGTCTTTTTAATGTGTTTCTAAGAATAAATGGTCTATTTATTAGTAGCATACTATGGTTTCCTGAAGACTATACTTTGAAGTATGTATTTTAAAATGTAAACTACTAAAATTAAATTAAATTTCTTTTAATAAGCATATATATTTTATATTGTGGCATTGGTAAACATTTTTTAAACTTCTTTAGCACATTTATTTTTATTCTGTAATCTCTAAACTGGCAGGTATGAATTTGTTCTGCATCTGATACAATGAATATAACTGTTTCTTAAGTGGAAATTTTTTTTCTAAATGTTTGGCATTACTACATGATGCAGAAATATCTTTCAGTGTTGTTTTTTCGTTTTTAAAACTGCTGAACTTTTGCCCATGGTTAAAATAGAAAGTTTCAGGAAGAATATTAAGGTGTATTAAAAGCTCCTTAGAATGCATTCACCACCTCCCCAGCCTGCTTTCTGTTTAACTTCTTTGCTTACCAAATTCCTGGAGCATGGAGAACTGGGAACTGAAAACATTCCAGGCCCTCTCTCTGTTGCTCTCTTTTGACTGTGTGGCCAGGACAGGTGATTTGGTCACGAACAAAGAATTTCCCTTTATTTATAATCATTAGTGTATTATTAAATAATTTATAAATTTCAGTTTTGTTTGTGATTCATAAAAGGAAAATGTCTCTGTACTGTACTTCATTTGTTCCTGTTAATAATTACTTTGATAGTATTCTTATCCAACTTAGGAGTTGGTGGTATTAGTTCATATTATAGCATCAAAATGAATTTTTTGACTAGAGAGCTCTGATTACAAAAGCTATTTGGGGGGTAGGGATAAAGGGTTATATGTTTTTGGACCCAATATACTGCATAGAGCTGTCACACAGCAGCTTTTCAACTAAAATACTCAGTTTCACAATCTTCATTATTTCGTATTTTTAAAATTTTTTTTTCCAGGAGATTCAAATAAAAATGGAAGAAGAAGTTCTACTTTAGATTCTGATGGGACTTTTAATTCTTATAGGTAGGTGACAAATTATTACAAGATACTATACAAGCTACCTAATGTTACAGGATTCTAAGAGTAGTAAGGAATTGTTACCTGTGTTTTAAAAATACGTCAAATGTAAAGGATATTGTGATATGTGATTGTTCTGCAGACTTATTGAGTAATGAAAAATGTAACCTTTTAAATTCTTGAGTAAATGGCCTTATTGTAGATATCAGTTGTTAGTGTATACAGGATAACTGGTATGAATGCATATGTAGTGTTAAACTCCGTTATAATCAATTTTTGTTTTTGTTTTTCCAGTATATCTGTTACAGTACTAAAGGCTTCCTTTTGTTTAAGTTTCCTTTTAAAACAGGATATATTCCTTATGAGCATCTAAGAGTATGAAATGTACTCCCTGGTTACATTAAGCACTGTTTGTTAATATCCCCTTTGACTCTTCAGCAAACAGGACAGTTACATCTCAATTAGTGATTTTTTTAAAAAGGATACACTAGTTAAGAAAACCTGGATCTTATCTAGTATTTTGGTAATGTTCTCCTTATAACTTGATATGCTTGAGTAAATGTTTATGGATTTTGTACCTTCATAACAGGGAAGCCTAGGAAGAAGAAAAATTATATTATTTCCAGTAGTATTTGAAACTTCCTATACTGAATCAACGTGATATAAGAACTAGGTTGTTTTGTTTTAAGAAAAAAAGGTACATATTCAGTAATAATACATTTTCGCATTGTAGATAGCAATGCAGATTCTTGAGGAAATACTTTGAGTACATTGTCCTTATGATTAACTAGTTGTGACACTTTGCAGTGACCCCATAAAATACACACGAGAACCACTACACACCTGGAAACTCATTTAAACGTTTAGCTGTAACTCCGTTTATGTAATAGATACGGGGGTTTACGATTGAAATCTTCATATTTTTACTTGAATACATATTGGATATCCCTAAGTGGAACTGTGTCATTTGTTTTTTTCAAATCCCAGACACGCTTTTAATATCTAGAATAGAACCTTGTATACAGGAAGCACTTAATAGGAATGTGGTCAATGGGAAAGTTTTCTACAGTTTGTTTCTGAATTCCAGAAATGAGATGGTAATTGAAACACTTGACATCTTTATTTTATATCAGTTGGGGTATGTATAAATAATCAGTCGTTCAAGTGTCACAGATACTACAAAAGGCTTATGTTCCCATGGTGTTCTAGAAGGGTATTATCACAGCAGTAAAGCTCATATGTTGTCATTATATTTTCACTATACTCATCCTACCTTATAAATGTTGGGATTCTTCAAATCCTTCTTTTAGTGCTGAAGTAAATATAAAAGATAGTTAAACATTCATGCTTTGATATGTAAGTGAGGAATGTTAATATGGTAATACATGTGAAGTCTATATTAGTATCATTATTAGATATAAATACGGTAAAAAAAACTAAGACAAAAGAAAAATAGAGATGTATTTCAAAAGAAGGAAAATCCGTATGTGTATAAATTTTGTTGGTGAATTCAATTTTACAATTACATTTGTAGTTTAGCTAATTATAGTAAATAATGGACATAATATAAAGTTAAGAGAAATGTGTTAATGTGAAGGCACGGCATTATCTTGTAGCTTATTTTATTCTTGAATAGTTTGAAGATTAAAGTATTTTAGTATTATTGAATGATAATTGTACTTTGAAAATGAACTCCTAATGCAACTTTGCACAATAAATACTAATGTTGTTAACTAATATAATTTTAATCAATGCCTGTCAGTGTTGTAATGTTAGGATATTAATTTATTGTTGTAATTAAAAAGGCAAGATAAAAAGCTCAGGTAGTACAATATATAAAAACGAGCTTTTAATAGTTGGCAGGCCAGTGCTGTTATTAAATAGTATTATAGTATTTAAGGTGTGAAATGAATATTTTTCTACTCAGCAGGCAATAGCTCTTACAATGTAATGAGCTTACTTGTGAATTTGACACTTGGGTTAAATGCAGAATTCATAGAAGCAGAGCTCTGGGGTGTATTTCCATATTAAGGTTAACTGATAAAACCTAGGAATTTTCGTACAATCATACTAAAATGGCAAGAGAATTGTCAGTAAAATTCACTTTTGAAAACGAAAATTATTTTTCTGTTGCTATCATTGCTGTTTTAAACTTAATAAATAAGTTATTAGAACAATGTGAATATTTCAACCCTCAAAGATCCTTTAACCTTAACAATTCTACCTTTGTATTATTTAAACTGTCTCAGAAATCCTGACCTTTCTTCACAGTCAGACAATTCTGGCTGTCAGCCTAGTACCATCATATTCAAGCTATATATACTTGTGTCCAGGATAATGATTAGCCTTAGTTTATTATCTCATAAGACAGACTTACAGTGTCTAACCTGCTCCCTCCTCACATGTGTTTTAAAGACTGAGATAAAATGTGTATGGTAAAGCCTTTTGAAAATCCAAATGCAAAACTATGGCATTATTAGTTCTTTGCATATTATTCTTTCCTATAAATTGGCAACTTTGTTGCCTTAGTCTTCACTTAACCCTCCAACACGTGTACCTTTTGTAGCATATGCCAAGGTTTTATTGACTTTTGAATTCAGTCTTAAATTGGTCACCTAAGTCTGTAGTCTTTCCATTATTTATCTTATCATGGTTTTAGATTGTCACTCTCAAGAGAGTGTAGTCACTGATTTTTGTTGTTTTGTTTTTCATTTGTTAATATTTAAATGTAGTGAGGTGGTTCAAATCCTGACTCCAAGTACTTTGGAAACGTGGGACAAGTCTTAGCCTCAGTTTCCTCATCATTAAAGTGGGGGTAATAAGACACTTGTTGTAAGGAGTTAATGGGATGGTGTCACATGGTAAGTGCTGCATAAATATTAGCTGCTTTTATCTTCCAGTCAATGTCATGATCATCATTGTCATCATCGTTAACCTTCTGGTATTTAGAATTATTTACAGTGCTGTGATACGGAGACACTAAAAGGAAGGTAAAAAAAAAATGTGTCTTACAAGAAAATAACTTTTGTCTGTTAGCTGAAAGGGAGCTAAGAACAAGCTTAACCTGAGGCTTGAAACTCTCAATCTCTGGTACAGTATTCTGGGTTGCCTTTGTACAGCCATTGTGTGCACAGAGTAGTGATAAAAGGCAGATGTTTTACTATTTGTATAAGTTCAGAGGTGGATTTTTGGAATTTTGACAACTTTCGAAATCTATAATCAATCAGATCGTAACATGATAGTTTCATATGCCTAACGTTCATAGATTTGTTGTTCTTAGGCCAGGAGGTTTTCCTTGGATTTGTGTCTTTTGTGGTTTTGCTTCATTGATTCCAGTGGAGTACAGCTGAATTTAACTCCTAAGGCACCAGTATGATTATTATATGGTGCCTAGGTAATAGAGTAGATTTTTAGAAGTTTTTGATAAAATTCAGTTACATGTCCCCCAACCATTTTGCAGATGATGTGTTAAAATGGAAATTTTATAAGAATTGAGAAGATATTATTGGTTTATGCAGTAGATCATATGCTTTTTAAAGACCAGTGTTTTCTGTCAGATTTGTATGAGCACTCTGTATGTCTTATTTAACTATTAAACCTGAGAGACCCTTGCTGGGTATGAAAGAAGAGTAGTCGTTTGCCAATTAGCAGTTTGCAGTAGATGATTAACTTAGTGACTGTAACGCAGGGCCACATGGTAGAAGGAATATTCTCTCCCCACCACCCTCCTCCTCTTCCCAAGGGCAGCTGACCTTCTCCTCTCCAAAGAGGCGAGCCCCTTGCCAGCACATATGACTACAGACTATTACATTAATCTGTTTAGCTGTAGTACCAGCTGCTTGCATGTTTTTAATTATCTTATTAGATGGTATAACAGTGACCTATGAAATAAATTGAAGGTGAGCATTTTTAAACTTTCCTTTTTTTACCCTAGGTTTCTAAATATCTTTATTGACCAAATTATAACTTTCCACAAAAGTTCAGAGAAGTCTATATGGGTTTTGAGTCAGTGTAATGCTTTTTTCACATGTAATGTTATAATCCCCCAAATAGAAAACAACTTCATTTTTGCCTCATTTTTTATTTAGGATTTAAAGATTGAGGATTGCCTCATTTAAGATTTAGGTTGTGTTTCTGTAGTGACAAATCCATGTGAAGATACATTGGTTAAATAGTCAATTTAGTTAGAGAAGACTCAAGACCAGTTATTGGCATTCTCTGGGAAACTCAGAATATTGCTTCATTTTCAGACATCATCTTGGCATTGTATAAATGTCATAGGATAGAATATAAGTCATTGTAGATTATTTTTAAATACACTTGTATATGTAACTGTGATTTTCTAAATTCTGATATGTGGTAGTAAATCATGTAGTCTATCCTAATTATTTTTACAATTTAATTTCACATGGTACCATTTCTGGGTGTATTTTCCCAAGCTGTGTCATTAAGAAAAATGTATTATCTTGTGAATTTTGACAATTGGATGATTTTCAAATAATACTTTGTAACTGAAGTGTTGACTACTGAAGATACAGTTGGAGATAGTAATAACCAGTGATTGTTCTAACTCATAGCCAATAAACAAAGAGTGTAATAGTTAGAAACCCTGGTGTTGAATGAAAAAAAAAAAAAACACAGATAGTGGGATGCAGAAAGGATTGCAAAATACTTGGGCATGTCTTTTGAATTAATAAATCCTATAATGGGGATAGTGGGATGACTTGAGACTTGAAAATTTATAAAGACCTTAAATATTTGTAAAGTACACGCAGTGTTTTTGTAAATCAAGAAATACCCATTCTTTTTGGCTTCCTATTTTTTTTTTCCTGTAAAGAATTGCTATATTTCATATTTCAAAAGAAAAAGGTAACTTTTTTCCTTCATATATTTTATTTTCTTGCCTTAAAAGGAAAGAAGATAAAAAGCCATTTGGCTCTAAATTGGTGGTATTTAAAATTTCTTAATATTGAAGTTGCCTCCCTTCAATGTGGGAGTATTCTATA